CGTCGGGGGCCGCTCCGGGGCCGGGGGCCGTGCGGGGGGCCGGGACGTCACGGGGCGGGAGCCTCGGGGCCGCCTCGTTACCGGCCCCCGGCACATCACCCCACCGGCTGCCACAGCAACGGGGCCCGGCCCCACCGGGAGCGGTAACCCCTCCGGGCAGCCGCTCACGGCAGCCCGGCTCGCCGGGCCCCTCCGTGCCGTGGTAGCCCCGCGGTGACCGGCGGTGCCATGGGAGTCCCGGGGCTGCTCTGCCGCCTCCTCCTCCTCCTCCTCCTGGCAGCCGGCCCCGGAGCGGCCCCGCCGGGACGGTCCCGCGCCCGCCGAGGGCTCACCTACCCCGGGACGCTGTGGTGCGGCGCGGGCAGCAACGCTGATGCTTACGAGCAGCTGGGTAAGGGCGGCGGGGCCGCTGCTACCTTTCCCTTCCCTTCCCTTCCCTTTCCTTCCCTTCCCTTCCCCTTCCCTCCCTTCCCTTCCCATTCCATCTCTTCCCTTCCCTTCTCTTCCCATTCCATCCCTTCCCTTCCCTTTCCCTTCCCTTCCCATTCCATCTCTTCCCTTCCCATTCCCTTCCCTTCCCATTCCATCTCTTCCCTTCCCTTCCCTTCCCTTCCCTTCCCATCCCATCCCCATGCTAGTTCAGTCCCTGTCTGTCCCAGTTCAGTCCACCCCAGTGCCAGTCCAGTCCCAGTTCGCCTCTGTCCACTCCCCATCACAGAGCTGACCCATCCTGGTCCCCACACTGGTCCCGTCATTGTTCCCATCATGGTGCTGGTCCAGTTCTGATCCACCGTCTGTCCCCAGCCTGATCCCTGGTCCATCCTGCTCCCATTCTGGTCTCCATCCCACTGCTGGTCCAACCTGGTCCACTCCCAGTCCCTGTGTTGATCCCAGCCTAGTCCCTCTCTTGGTCCTGGTCCAGTCCTGGTCCCCATCCTGATCCCAGCCTAGTCCCAGTCTCATCCCCACCGTGGTGCTGGTGCAGGCCCAGTCCCCATCCCAGGGCAAGCCTTGTCCCCATCCAAGTGCCGGTCCAGTCCCAGCCCCTACCCATCCCAGCCTGATCCCAGTCCTGTCTCAGTCCGATCCAACTCTGATCCCAATCTTAGCCCAGTGCAGCCCCGATCCCAGCCCCATCTAGCCCCAGCCCACGCGTGCAGGCCCCCCCAGCCCTGCCTGCACCCCGCGCCTTCCCTCCAGGGGAACACCGGGACACGGACCGGTGCTGCCGGGACCATGACCACTGCCAGCACGTCATCCACCCCTTCACCGCCCGCTATGGGTACCGCAACCTGCGCTGGCACACCATCAGCCACTGCGACTGTGACCGCAGGTGAGCGTCCCAGCACCCGACCGTGCCCCGCAGCATCCCTACATCCTGGGAGGGGGGTCCCAGCCCCTCTGGCAGCCCCCCCCGGCTCCTCCTCACCCCAGCTCTGCCCCACGGCAGGTTGAAGGAGTGCCTGCGGCAGGTGAACGACACAGCCTCGCGGGTGGTGGGCCAGGCCTTCTTCAACGTCATCCAGGTGCCCTGCTTCGAGTTCGCCTACAAGGAGGAGTGCGTGGAGCCCTACCTCTACGTCTGGTGAGTGCTCCCCACCACGGGGACCGGCACCCCTCCCCGGCCCCGCCGGGGCTCGCCTCACCCCGCTCTCTGCAGGTGCAAGGCGTACAACACGGTGGCCATCGCGGTGCCCAAGGAGCCGGTGCTGTATGAGTTCGGCGGGGAGCTGATCGACCGGGCAGCGAGGCCTCGGGGGGTCCCTCTGAGCCCCCCGTGGAGCAGCGCGGGTGGAGGAGCTGTCCCTGTGGAGCATCACGCGCCCGCCCGCCCGCTGTCCCGCCCCAAAGCAGCCAAGAAAGAGAGGAAGGGGAAGAAGAAAGATAAAAAGAAGGGAAAAGGTCTGAAAAAGAAAGGCCTTTCCAAAAACAGGGAGCCGAGCCATCCTGCAGCCGCTGCCCCCGCTCATCCCACTGTGGGGCAGGACCCCTGGGCCCCGCTGCCAGACTTGGGGGAAGCGGCCAATGCCATCCTGAGCGATGCCCCGGCCTGGGAGGGCTTGGGCAGGGACCCAGCGCTGGCCACCCCATCCTCGGTCCCCACCACCAGCGGGAAGAAGAGGAGGAAGGAGAGAAACAGAAAGAAGAGGCTGAAAAGCAAAGCTGAGGCAGAGCCTGCATGAGAGCTGGGGCCCTGACTCCCCCCTTGCAGGTCTTGGCTGTGTAATAAAGTTGGTCACTCGAGCAGATGGTGCAGCCTCGGCCCCATCTTCATGGGGGAGAAAGGATCACACCGTGGGATCCAGGGGCGATCCCGGGGCTGGTCCTGCTTGCGGGGCTGTGGGAGGGGAAGCACCCGGAGCCGGGTGGGTAGCGAGTGGGTTTGAGCTGTTCCTCACCGCTCCCACCAGCTCATGTCATCTTCCTGGGCATTGGGGACTGCGAGTTGCTGCTCTGGCTGGGGACATAGGTCCTGTCCCCATGCTGGCACAGGGCAGAGCCCTGATTTTATCTCCCCTGCTGCAGAGGGGTTGAGCTCCAGCTCCCCAGGGTTGTATTTCTCTGGAGGACCAGTTAATGAATCACACCACCCCAGCTCTCTCCTCTGCTTAACCCGCTGCCTTTTCCCAGTGCTCCCACGCCACCACTGACTCCTTCTCCAGCCCCCAGCAATGGCAGTGATGGTTGCGCTAGGAGGAACTGGGGCCTCATCCCTCCCCAGAGGCTCCTCAAATGCCATACAAGAGCTCTTTGGAGTGGGACAATAGAAGCTTTTCCAGCCCTGGGACAAAAGCAGATGCTGCCCTGGGGAGAGGCAGGGGCAGGGCAAGCTGCCTGTGTCCCTGCCTGGCAGATGGTGATCACAGCCCGACTTGTTCCCTTTGCCCATAACTGGGCTCCTATAGTGAAGACTTTGAGGGCAGAGCCCAGAGATAAGGCATTGCCACCAACTCCAGGAATGGGCTTCCGAGTGAGAAATGCAGCTGGACACAGTGGCCCCTCTCCTACCCGGTGAGGCCGGTAGAAAGACCTTCCTGCACCAGCACCAAATTCCAGAATTGGAAAAAGCTGGAGCAACGGGAGCTGAGTGCTGTCTCCTGTTTTGCCACGACACAGACTTGGGAGATCAGGCAGCACCGAGGCCCGGAGAGCAGAGATGCCCCATGCAACCCCTACTGTTCCCGGAGGATCATGTGGTGCAATCCCAAGTCCCCAAAATAAGAAATAAGCGGACCACAAGAGCCCAGGGGGAAATACCAAGGTTGTAGCGAGGCATCGCACACTCTCGAGCACTGCTAATGGGCGCAAAGTCCTTGCGGCGACCACAGCGTCATAGCAGGAAGCACAGACATGTGGCATGCAGGCAGTTTCCCAAAAGTAGAATTTTTATTGACGGTAAGGGAAAACTAAAAACAAAGACGGCCAAAAAGGAGAGCTGACAACACACAACTAGCCCCTCCCTGTACAGGTCCGACACATCCCTGGTAAGGAGCTGCTCCCAGTCAAATTCCTGTCATACAGATTTTGATAAAATAAAAAAATAGTGTAAGGTTAGTACACCTGCAACCTACAGCAGCCATGGGCCCCGGCGCATGGTCCTCCAGCCTGGCCTGCGCAGTTGCAGGGGAGGAACACGACTGTCAGCCCCCCAATACTGCTGAGGAGATGGCAAGGAAGCCAGGACCTGCATTTCTCTGTGGAAACAGCTTTGCTTTGTCTCCCGGGTTGCTGCCATTCTTCAGGAGCATTTACATGCAAAGAAGACCTTTGTTTCTTAAGATCTGCTGTTCTTGCTCATTTCCTAGCGAGAGGAGGCTAACCAGGAGCACTTGGAAGGAACAAAGACTCTGCTTCCATAGAAAATCCCTGCTAACAAAGCAGGAGAGAGGAAAGTGTGTGCAGCAGGAACTTTCCAGTTCAGAAATGGCTCTCAGTGCTGGCAGTCGCTTTGCAACACTGCAGTGGGCTGTTTCTGACATGACCGAAGCTATCTGCGCTACCTGCCCTCCTCCCTGGCCCCCCAGTACTTCTCCCAGCCAGAGAGACGTGGGCCTCCGAGCGGTGCCCCGGATGTCAGTGTGATGTCTCTATACAACGCATTCAGAACAAAACATTATTATCAGCTCAACAGAAATCAGCTTCTCTGTGAAAGTTTCAGCACACAGAGGGCAACTCCAAGCAACAAAGGAAGAAGGAGCATCGACTTTCACCACTGAACTCTGCTTCTAAGCAAATCCACTGCTAAGAGGAGAGGGCAGGCAGGCAGCACAGGGTGCAGGCAGAAAACCTCTCAACTAGCGTTCAGTAGAAACTATTTATTCACCCCTCTTGGTTACAACTGGGCAGGGTTAAGCGGATACGGAGGAGGATGCCATGCACTCCCAGCTGCTTTGCGTTCTCCACCATAGGAGCGGCTGCTCTTGCAGCATTTTAGCCCACGTCTGTCCTGCGCTCAGGAAAGCTGCCGTTGGCTGGCGTTTTGCTTCGCAGTCTGATTAAAAAAAATAATAATCAAAACTAAATAAATATTGTTCCAAAATAAGCCAGAGGAGAGAGCAAGCCTTTGGTACGACAGCTGCGTTCCTCTCCAGCAAGACCCCAAGCCCCGGAGCTGCTGTGCTAGACCCCTACGAACACAGCTGGGGGTTGGCACAGACTCCGCAGAGCCTGTTACGCATGAAAACATGGAGCAAACAACAACAGAAGCTTTTTGAGAACTCCGGTTTGCTTGTCACAACCCCCATGACTTTGTGCTCCCAGGACAAGAAGAGGTGACAGTCAGGGTTTGGGAGAATCCAAATGAAACAGGCTCACTCCAGGCCAATGGTCTGCACTTTCAGCTACGTTTGCTTCCTAGTCTTTGCGGTGAAAGCAGACTGCTGTACATGTACAAGGACAGACTCGTTTGACCTCATAATTACTTTGCCGAGCTTCCAAAGTGGTGAACCAGGGCCTGGAACACGGAGGCCGCTGCAGCTTCCCTTCCTATGATATATTTATATATATAGTATATGTGTTTAGACCAGCCGTGCCAAGTCTATTCATTTGCTCAGGTGCATGTCACCAAGAGTCATTTCCCACCATCTCACGACGTATAAAACAGGAGTTAATGTGGCTAAGGGAAGGGAAGTTGTTTTCAACTGTTCACTCTCCCTTCCCCTTCCTAGAGAAGGGTACGGAGGTTACGGGTCAGGTCCAGCACAGCCTATCGATCCATCTCATCCAGCAGCGGCGTGGCGTCCCCAGCGATGGACATGGGCGTGCTTTCGATCATGGGGCTGGGAGATGGGCGAGGAGTCAACCTCTGCTTCTGTTTCCTCCTTTCGGCCTCCTTCTCCTGGAGCCACTGCTCGGCCATCTTTCCCCAGTCGATCGCAGCGTGACTGTTGGTCCTGAAACAACACAGGCGGAAAGTGAGACATGCTAGCGGGAGAGCTTCCCTGCCCTCCCTCCACAAGGGTCCCATGCAGGAAGGTGCAAGGTAACCCCACCATGCTGGTTCCACAAAAATCAACAAAAGCAATCAAGACGGGACACAGATGGATCCATGTACCCAGCACCAGAGACACTCACTTTGGCTGCTGCCTCTGCCTGGAGCTGGACGATGGCTGCGACTGTGTCTGGGACTGGGTGGACTGGGGTGTGGTGTTGGCCTGGAGCTGGTATTGGGGCGTTGTAATTGGCTGGCTGGGGGTAGTGTAGGAGTAACTGGGGGTCATCAGAGGGGTGGCCACCGGTTGCTGTGCTGGAGTCGTGAAGACCTGCAGAGAGCAGATACTGTTAGGGGACAGAGGACAAACCCTGCTAGGCTGTGGGGAAGAGTTCTGGTGTGCTCTGCATTGCCCTACTCGCCCAGGAGGCTGGTGCATGTCTTTGCTGCACAGTCCCAGCCCTGCTGGAGCCCCTCATGTGGGCAAGGAGGTGTTTGCAGTGACCATTGCCCAGGGAATGGGGGGCTGCAGGGCAGAAGGAGCAACACCCTGCTGAGCACAGGACATTTGTTTCCCTGAGAGGCCCTGATCGCCCACCCAACGTGGGTCAGCAGGGCCACCACAGCCTGCCTTCCTTGTTCACCCCACACAGGGTACCAGGGGAGATGCTTAAGCCAAGCAAAGGTAAGGGCTGCAAAAGACAGGCACAAGAGACACTTCGGGCAAGCTAGCAGAAATGACGTCCTGCAGCAGGCATGAAGAACAGATGAATTCCTCCCCTGTGGGCTGCAGAGAAGGCACAGCAGCTCCCGAGATGGCTTCTTCCCCCATCCAAAGCTGGCTGGCTCACTATTTGTCCAGTGCAGCGCTTAGACTCTTTGCCTCCAAGTGTTCACCTCCCTTTTCCTTCAGATTGTCTTGATGATTAATACATTGGGTTATCCACAGTCCCTGCCTATCCCCAGCTCAGCATTTACTGTGCCAAACTCTGTGAAAGCCTCCCAAGGTGGTCTAAAAGAGGATCACTCCTCCCTGCAAGCCTTGTCTTGCAGCACCTCTTCATTAGGTCTTTCTAACAGCTGGGTGTGGTTTTTGTATCCAGGCACCTCAGTCCCTCTGCAGCTAGATTTAGCCTCCGTGTCAGCTGGTGAACTGGCAGTGCGGACTGGGAAGAGATAGGCACCAGCACACGAGGAAAGGCTTCAGTGTGAGCCAAAACTGTCCAATTCCATCTTATTCCCTGCAAAGCCTCTGGGTGTTCGGTCAGGCTGAGGTGTTCGCCTGCTGGTGCAGCTCAGAGATTAGCACGCTGAGCTGAAAAGCCCTGCAAACTCAGCGCATAGTTTCACAGCTAATCTCTTCCACTGGCAGCTCACGTTGCCAATTCAGGGGCACAATCAGAAGGCTGTGTGCCCTCACCGCTGGATCCCGCCTCTCCACCCTGCCACATTCCTTGGGGGCCAGACCAATTTGCTACTTGCTTCAACTCTCCCCAGAGCAGGGCTGTATTACATGCCCCATTTCCTCAGCCACAGGAGGCAAGAAGAAACACAGTCCAAGAATCCAGCCAGGCTCCCCTGTGCAGCACCATGGGTACACAACTAGGACTGGATGGTCCCAGGCAATGAGTAACTCCTTAGGGTTACTTAAAGCCCCCATGGGATGGTTTCTAGCAGCAAGGAAAAGCCACGCAGCACCTCCTGTCAGAAACTTAAGTGACACCTACATGGTAAGCGCTGCCGCCGCCTCCGCTGCCTCCATAGCCGTACTGACTGGATGCCCACTGAGCAGGGGTGGCATTTGGGTTCTGTCCCTGTCCTGTCACAGCAGCGATGGCACTGAACATCTGGGAAGTCATGTTCTGCGGTAGAGCGTTCACTGCACGGGTCAGGTCTGCAAGGAAGACCCATCACGTTAGACAAAGTGGAGCCTGGAGAAGGAGCTTTCATCCCAATTCCAACCAGCAAAGGCCTGCACTGACCTGCCAGGTTAATGTTAGCTGGAGTAGCATTAATGGAGGCTGGAGTCCTGGTCCGAC